TTTAAACCTTTTGTGTTTTTACCTATCTTGAACCACGAAGATATTTTCTGGTTTTTTTTTCCTCTAAGTTTTATTGTTTTCTTTTATATTTTTATACCTGTCATTTACCTGAAATTGGTAGATTTCTTTTCTGTCTGTTGTGGGGTATGGTAAAGATTATGTGTTTTTTTTTTATATGGATACCTAGTTGATCCAGCACAATCTGTGGAAAAGGCCATCACTTCCCCAGTGCACTGCAGTGTTACTTGTGTCATAAATCAAATGATGGTGTATGTATAGGTGTGTTTCCTGATTATCCTGTTCCACTCTTTGTTTTTTTCACTTGTACTGATATCACACCATTTAGTGTAATTAAATTTATGGTAAGTCTTAGTCAGTCCACTTCCATAAAAGAATCCTGTGAATATATTGATTAGAAATGCACTGATTCTATAGATCACTCTGGGTAAAACTGGTATCTTTACGATACTGAGCCTTCTAATTCCCGAATATAGTATATCCCACCATTTATTTAAATCTTGTGTCATTAATATTCTATAGTTTTCTGTGTGGTGTTGAGTGGTCTTGTATACTTTTCACTTTCTTACTAGGAATATGATGATTTCTGATGCAATTGTCAATGATACTACTTTCAAAATTCATAATTTGTTGTGTCTAAAATTCAGAAATGCAACTGACCTTATATCCAGCAACTTTGCTAAGTTTACTCATATTAGTTTTAATAATTGGCTAGAGATTCTTTTGGATTTCCTATGCTCATAATCATGTGATCTGTGAATGACAGTTTAAATTCCTTTCATTTCTTTTTTTTGCCTTATTGTACTGCCTAGGACTTCCCATATAATGTTAAACAGAGGGGATAATAGAGATAACTCAAAGGGAAAGCTTTCAATAATTTACCAACAAACAAAATATTTGCTTTAGGTGTGTTTTTAAAAAAGAGATAGACCTTACCAAATTAAGGAATTTCCCTGCTGTTCCTAGTATGTTAAGAATTTTTGAAGAATCAGGAATGAAGATTGACTTTTATTATAAAGTATGATGCATTTTTTGACAAACTAAATATAAAGGCAAAGTATCTCAACATAATAAAGAATACACACACACACAGCACACATACACAGATAGATAGGTGGTAAGCCCACAAGCTAATTTCATCTCTTCTTCAACAACGAGAAACTTAAAGTTTCTCCTCTAAGATCGTTTTTCCTCTAAGATCAGGAACAAGACAAAGATGCCAGTACCTCACCACTTTTATCAACTTGGCATTAGAAGTCCTAGCCAGGGGGCACCTGGGTGGCACAATTAAGCTTCCAACTCTAGGTTTCGGCTCAGGTCACGATCTCAGGGTCACGGGATGGAGCCCCATGTCGGGGTCCATGCTCAGTGCGGAGTATGCTTGAGGATTCTCTCCCTTCCTCTCCCTCTGCCCCTCCTGCTCATGCTCTCTCTCTCTCGCTCTCTAAAATAAATAAATGAAACTTAAAAAAAAAAAAGAAAAAAAGAAAAAGAAGTCCTAACCAGGGCAATGAAACAAGGAAAAAAAGCATAAAAACTGGGAAGGAAGAATTTGAACTGTCTCTATTTGCAGATAACATGATAATATGTATAGAAAACCCCAAAGACTCCACCAAACACCTCTTTGAACTAATAAATTCAATAAAGCTGAAAGATATAAAATCAATATATAAAAATCTGTTGTGTTTCTATACACCAATAATGAATTATCAAAAGAGAGATTAAGAAAATAATCCCACTTACAGCTGCATCAAAGGAATAGAATACCTAGAAATAAATTTAACTAAATTGGTAAAAGATATGTATACTGTAAACTATCAGATATTGATGAAAGAAACCGAAGACACAAATAAATGAAAGGATATTCCATGCTCACGGATTGCGAGTGTTAACACTGTTAAAATGTCCATACTACCGAAAGCAACCTGCAGATTCAGTGTAAGTGCTATCAAAATTCCAATGCCATGTTTACAGAAACAGAAAAAGAAAATCTTAAAATTTGTATGGAACACCAATCCCAAATAGCTAAAGCAATCTTGAGAAAGAAGAAAAAAGCTACAGGTATCATACCTCTTGATTTCAAACTATTTTACAAAATTATAGTAATCAAAACAATATGGTATTGGAATAAAAACAAACACACTGATCAACAGAACAGGATAGAGAGCCCAGAAATAAACTCATGCAGATATGGTCAATAAGAGGAGGAGCCAAGAGTGTAAATGGGGAAAGGATAGTCTCTTCATGAAATAGTATTAGGAAAATCAGACAGCAATAGGCAAAAGAATGAAACTGGATCACTTTCTTACACCACATACAAAAATAAATTACAAAATAGGTTAAAGACTTGAGGAGTGCCTGGGTGGCTAAGTTGGTTAAGTGTCCAACTCTTTTTTAAAGATTTATTTATTGATTGATCTGAGAGAGAGAGAGAGAGAGCATGAACAGTGGGGACAGGCAGAGGGAGAAGCAGGCCCCCCACTAAGCAGGGAGCCCGATGCAGGGCTTGATCCCAGGACCCCGAGATCATGACCTGAGCCGAAGGCAGATGCCCAACTGACTGAGCCACCCAGGCACCCTAAGTGTCCAACTCTTGATTTCAGGGTCGTGAGTTGGGCTCCAAATAAGTCCTTAAAAACTATTAAAGACTTGAATGTAAGACCTGAAACCATAAAACTCCTAGAAGAAAACAAAAGCAGTAAGCTCCCTGTTACCAGTATCTGAGTGATGATTTTTTGGATTTGACACCTAAAACAAAGGCAACAAAGGGAAAATAAACAAGTGGAACTATACATCAAACTAAAAACTTCTGCACAGCAAAGGAAACCATCAACAAGATAAAAAGGCAACGTGCTGAATGGGAGAAAAAATTTGCAAATCATGTGTCTGATATGGGGTTAATATCCAAAATATATAAAGAACTCATACAATTCAATAGCCAAAAAACCATTAACTCTCCAATTTAAAAATGGGCAGAGGAAGTGAATAGGCATTTTTTCAAAGAAGACACACAAATGGCCAACAGGTACATGAGAAAGTACTCAACATCACTAATCATCAGGGAAATGCAAATCAGAACCACAGTGAGCTGTCACCTCTCACTTGTTAGAATGGCGATTATCAAAAAGACAAGAGATAACAAGTGTTGGTGAGGGTTTGGAGAAAAGAGAACCCTTGTGCACTGTTGGTGGAAATGTGAATTGGTACAGCCACTGTGGAAACCAGTATGGAGGTTTCTCAAAAAATTAAAAACAGAACTACCTTATGATCCAGCAACTCCACCTCTGGATATATATCCAAGGGAAACAAAGTCACTATCTTGAAGAGATATCTTCACCTCCATAGTCACTGCATCATTATTTATTATATTTATTTTATATTTATTATAGCCAAGTCATGGAAACAACCTAAGTGTCCATGAGTGTATGAAGAGACAAAGAAGATACGGTATTTTTGTACTATGGAATATTATTCAGCCACAAGAAAGAAGGGTATCTTGCCATTTACGACAACATAGATAGACCTTAAGGGCATTATGCTAAGTGAAGTAAGTCAGAGAATGATAACTATTGTATATCACTTATATGTGAAATCTACAAAAGTCAAACTCATAGAAACAGAATAAAGTGGTGGTTATGAGGGATTGGTGGGGGAGAGGGGAAACACAAAATGTGGAGATGTTGGTTAAAGGGTATAAAATTTGGACAATTAAGGGACGAAAAAAGTTGCATAGGGAAAGGAACTGGAGGAAGGTACTATAATACAATCAAGATGTGATCAGAAGAGAAAAGGAGATCAATTTAGAGACAGCAAATAATTTAGGTGGAAAAGAGGTAGAAGCTAAGGTTGAGGGAGTAGGGGTTGGGGTTGGGGGAATTTAGAACACCAGGATGAATTTAGACAATGGAAGTCCCTAGAGGTTTTGGGTAGAGACACAATGAAACCACTTTATAGTATGGTTAATTCTGGGGTAGAACTTACCATGGAAAATATGGGAACAAAGTACTGCAGGAATACCACTTACGAGTTTTTAGGAGTAGTCTAGATGTATAGTGTTGGTGAGAGAAAGAGAAGAAAATATGGGAGAGTTTAAAGAAAGAATTGCTAAGATTTGAGGACTAAGTGATGTGAGGAGTGATCATGTTCAATTCGGAACATATTATATTTGAGGAGATTATCCTATATTCAAATAAGAGAGGTTCAGTAGACAGGTAGAGACATATGGGACTAGAGTTCAGGGAAAGGATTAGCACTAGAAATATAAATTTTAACCAAATATCATAAAAATTATTTTTTGTTATCTATCTTTTTTCTAAAGATTTTATTTATCTCTTTGACAGAGAGAGAGAGAGAGCACAAGCAGGCAGAGCAGCAGGCAGAGGGAGAGGGAGAAGCAGGCTTCCCGCCGAGCGGGGAGCCCAATGCGGGGCTCAATCCCAGGACCCTGGGATCATGACCTGGGCCGAAGGCAGACGCTTAACCGACTGAGCCACCCAGGAGCCACTTTTATTATCTACCTTTATTATTTAGTGTCTACCTTTACTAAGCAATAATATTAGTAACTTTCCTTTCCTTTAAGGTTTTAGGTCAATAGAAGATAAATCCAATTTTCTTCCTTAGATCACTAGACAATAATTTTCAAATAATTAAGATGATAATAATAACTAATATTTTTTGAGCACTTACTATATGCTAACCACTGTTCTAGGTGCTTTACATATGTCAACATATTTACAACCATTCTATAAGATACAGTCACTATCCCCATTCACAGGTGAGGAAATTGAAACACACAGAGGTGTAGTCACTTGCCTAATGTCACAGAGCTAGTCAGCAGCAGAGCCAAGATGTGGACTCAAGCAGTCTAGCTCTCCTCAGCCAACACATACATAACATCTTAGCAAATAATCACGCTAAAATGGCTTAGGGTTCAATTCTCCTTCATCTTCTAGAGCTATTTGGAAAGGTTTTAATATACTTACTTGCAATGTATTTGTATCCCACACTTTCAGAGTTTTATCAAATGAGCTTGATGTGAACATGCCGGTGTCATGAGGATACCACTGTACAGTCTCCACGCTGTATTTGTGAACATCAGGATGGTTTCTACAAAACAGCCATCAAAATTTAGAAATACTTGATTTACGTGAGTTTCAGTACTGATACTGTATTAACAGGTAGCAGTCTCAAGTAGGACAATATGAATGGCCAAACCTAGATCACAGGCCTGCATCCCAGCTCTCCAGAGGACAATGTCCAGGCACCTCTAGTTTCAGGCTTCTGTAGTGTAATGTGGAGGCCCGCTTCCTACTAAGGCTTATTAAATGGGAGACTTCCTATTTCTGTATTTGAGCCTGGAGAAAGTAGCCAGCTACACTGAACCTCTTCACGGAGGGGGGCAGTGATTTTTCCATACTGGAAGAGATACCCATTCTGGTTTTAGATATGCTTTTCCCAAGTACCATTTATCAGTATTATCATTCTTAGAATTGTTGAATGCCTCACATAGTTCCATGGTATCCCACGCAATATTGCTTCTGATCAAGGAACTTACTCAATGACAAAAGAATGCAATTAATTGGTAGATGTTCAAGGCACCACTCTTATGTAACCCATTACCTGTAGAAGCATGATCTGTTGAAGACTCAAGCTATGATATCAGCTATAATACACTACCTTGTAAGGGTGACATGCTGTCCTAAAGGAAGCAGTATATGCTCTGAACCGGTGATAAATACAGTATATGTGTCACTTTACTAAATTTTAATTCACAAAAACTGGCTGTTAACTAACCCTTATAAGACAATGATGGAAATCTGAACACCAAGTGGATATTTAATATGAGGAATTATTGTGTGAGATAATAAAGTCTCTATTTTTAGAGATATAAACAATAATGAATGAAAAAAAAATGCTTCTGGGATAATCCTCAGTGGGTGGGTGGGGTTAGAGATGAAACAAGATTGGTTATGACTGATAGTTGTTGAAGCTGTGTGATGGGTACATAATTCACTATACTACTCTCCTCTTTTGTATATGCTGGAAATTTTCCAAAACAAAATAAACAAACAAAAGTTAACAGAAGACTATTGCAATCCTACACAGATAGGACCATCATGAGTTCTGATTCCTTAAGGTGGTTTGGATCAATACAGGATGAAGTACCTTAAGCACTTGAATGAATGAGAACATGAAGTAAAGCCTTAAAGTGTTAGTCTGGCATTGACAGAGCTGCAAAAAAGAAGGACTATAGTGTCTATCCATTATTCCTTTCTATGTCATGTATAATTTATATATTTTAACTGATTTCCCTTTTCTTTCTCTCTCTTGCCTCCATTATTTTATATAGGTTAACAACAAACTGAGTCCACGGGTTGCATAATTTGATAAAAGATCATGTAAAACTAGTGAAAAAATGGACATTATCTTGAACTGGAACTGGATATGGTAATTAAGTAGACTGAGGATCTATCACCTTTGGGGAAAGGGATGATTACATTTTGGTTGTGTAGTGGATACTTGCCTTTTTGGTTGTGGAGTAGATACTTGGAACTTTTTTTTTTTTAAGTTGGATCCAAACTCCTCCTATCTGGGGGACATCTCCCTTATTTTATTGCTTCTTGTTACAGAAAGCTAGGGACTCCAGACATTCTCTTTCCCTCTCCCTTGGCAGTAAGGGCATGGACGTATGGTTTAAGCTTCCCAAACCTGCCTGGGACTCTAAAACTCCAGCTAGTAATGCAAAACTCAGGGATATTTAACAATTATTCATAGTCATGAAGTTGAGAGTCTGTGTTGGTAACATGTAGCAGAACCCAAACTAAATTGTTCCTGTGGTGGACTCCAACTGTTGTCTTTGCCTTAGTTTCTCTTACCTTCTGCTCCTTTCCACATTTTATTCCCCTACCTTCCCGCCAGTTATATGAGATACTAAATATCTTTCCAGTAAATTTCTGCTTAAAATAAGGAGAACTGATTTCCATTTGCTCCTAAGAACCTTCATATATACCAAGATTTTCCAGTTATAGTAAAACAAATCTTTAATGTAGTGATTAAAAACAAAAGCTCATTTATATTTTAAATGTAAATTTAAGAATAGGACAAAATATTATATTATTATCTTACCAGGTATGACCTGTTATTCTCATTCACATTTAATGAGGATTTTGGTACAGAAAGGGAATCTTTTTGGTGCCTAAGAACATATGCATTAAGTAAAGCAAAAATAAATATCAGCAAACACTCTAAGCCATATTAACTAAAAATTTTTAGTGAAATTATTTTGTAAAGTTAGATTATAAAGTCTTCAGATATAAAAAATGCTACTTTAACTCATTTTGCAAACATGCTCACTGTATGCCCATTTACATTCAAAGTTATGCTTTTAAAGACAGTGAATCCAAGAAGAATGTCATGGTAAAGCAAAAGATTGATACACTAAGCATTTACTTGACTTTAACTACCAGAAAAGTAAATCACAGTTCCTCAGGAATAACATTAGATAGCATGTGGTATATATGAAAATATTATTTTGATATGTAACAAATTAAACAATGTTAAAATGTTAGCTAAGATAAAAGAAGAAAATGAACTAAATGAATTAATTAATATGACTATCTTACACTTTAGAATTTAGGGGTTTTTTTTTGGTACAAGTGGAGTGAGAGTATAAAATGGTGTAAGCCTCTTAGAAACCAAGTTTCAGACTATTTGAGTGTTATCTTTGTGTACCAAGTGTCCCTATAATTATATTGCTTTACAGAGTGGCCTTATGGTTTTTAACATGCTTTTTAAAAGACAACATTTCATTTAAGACTCATAAAAACCTTACAAGAATGACAGGACAGGTATAATTATCTCTGAAACAAAATAATCTGAGGTTCAGAGAAAGAGTGTCCCAAATCTTTATTTTCAAAGTGAAGCACCAGAGCCAAGAAACAATCGCAAATCTCCTCCCAAATACTCCATGGACTTATGTACCTATTCTAGTGCTTTGGGAACAGCTTTAATACAGAGTGATTGTTGACATTAAATGTTCATGAAATTTTTCCTCTTGAAAGCATTTTCCTAACACCCTTTCTTCCTGTTAACTCAAAGCTGTGCTCAATATTGGATCAGATACAGGCGACAAGGAAGAATTAAGTAGCCATTATGAACAAATTACAACAGTCACAAAACATCTTTCTAGACGCTTAAAAATAATTCTCACAAGACTGGAAAGGCAGTAAAGAATAGTCAGGAGACTTAAGACAAAGAGAGGTATGTTAAGTTAGACAGCTTTGAGTAAGTAGAGAGATAGGATGGTTGTGTATAGGTGTGTATATGTGTGTGTATGGTGAAGGACTGCCAGTATATTTACTGCTTCTAGCCATTAATCTTTTTGTTCAATGAATATAATTTGAAAAATATAATTTTTGTTTATAATTAGCTGAAAGACATAAATAAATTTTATGCTAAGTGGTACTAAAAACTATGATTAGTTACTGCGGTGTGCTAAGTAGGTATACAACAAAAGGACATAATCAAAACTTTTTATTTTCAAGAAAATGTCAAAGGATATCCATGTGAAATGTGACATTTGAACAAGCTGCCTGAGACAATCATATGACTGCTATTTTCATGTTTTGCATTTGAAGCAAAAAGTATTAAAATGTTTATAAATTCATGAATTACATTTTTAATACACACCTGCCAACGGAACACACTGCTTTACATGTGTAATAAGGTTGTCTGCTGGAGTTCTCAAGATCATAAAGTACAATCACACCATCTGAACCACCTGATAACATGCTAATAATAAAAAAGTTCACATTAATTTGTCATTTTATGTACTTCATTTATTATATACTGATCCACAAACACCCAAATGTATTATGCCCACAAATACAGAGTAAATCTTCGTTAATAAAGATTTTTTATAAAGTAAAATTCCTCAACCTAGTATTTGTAGAATATAGAAAGTTTCAATCTGTGACCATTTAAAGTTCACCTTTATAATTCCAAAAAGAAACAAGATGGCAAAAGATCTATCTTAATTAAGAAAGTAAAATATTATGAAGTCATTCTTAATGTCCTAATTAAAATTGTGATAAGTGAAAATGGAATCAGTGAGACCAGCTGTTACTGATGCTAGCTATCTGACTCTGGGCATGTTACTTCACCTGTCTAAGCCTTCAAACATTTCTGAAAAAGGGTACATTTTCATCTAAGTCATAAAGACGACGTAAAGATAAAAGTTATATGCAAGTGAGTTTTATACTGCCTCATAAAAAATAAATGATTAATAAATATTAGATTTAGGGGGCGCTTGGGTGGCTCAGTCGTTGAGCGTCTGCCTTTGGCTCAGGTCATGATCCCAGGGTTCTGGGATCGAGCCCTGCATTGGGCTCCCTGCTCGGCAGGGAGTCTGCTTCTCCCTCTCTAACTCCCCCTGCTTGTGTTCCCTCTCTCGCTGTGTCTCTCTCTGTCAAATAAATAAATAAAATCTTTAAAAAAAAAAATAAATAAAAATAAATAAATAAATATTAGATTTAGTATTAAAAACACATATACTCACTTTATTCAACTTTGTGCACTTGAAATATGTTAGGCACTCTGCTAATATAACTGTCCACAAGACAGGCATACTTTCTGTCTTTCCAGAGTCTACAGTCTAGCAGGAAAGACAGACAGATCTATGAATTTATATATCTAAATGAAGAATTGTTATTTGTTAATCTTATTGCTCATAATCAAACCTCATGTTGCTGTCGCTCTACTCATTCTGGTTCTCTGATTTTACTCTTTGGTAAATTCCTAAGAAAGGGCTAATGAGAGCAACAGGCCCTGAATTCTTGTATGTTATTGACAATTTGTCTGTTCTTTTGTACTTGAAAATCAGTCTGGCTGGATATATAACCCTTGAGTCACATTTTATTTCTCTGAACATCTGAGATAAGAAACTTCATTTCTTTGGGAATAAAGCCCCAAAGCAGTTTAGTTAAAACAGGATTTTCTTTCTCTTATATCTAGTTTTAGATCTTATTTATTTTAGGAAACTCTTCTTGGATTATACCTTTAATATTGACTCTGTTCTCTTCCTTTGGGTTTCTTCTCTGGGAATTCCTATTAAATGTATGCTGGATCTTCTCTATCTCCCACATACATCCCCATCTCTTGAATTATCTTTTTCCATTTTCTTCTTGATTTTTAAAAATATCCTCCTTCTACCTTCTTCTTCTAAGCTATTACCTCTTGTATTGATTTGCTTGTGTTCCTTATGCTTTAGTCTTCATTTCTGAAACATTTGCCTTTTATTTCTAATTTTTTCTTGAGTTTGTTCATCTCATTTCTGAGTTTTCTTATTTCCAACTTATGTTATTCTTTCGGATCTTGTATCTTTTTAAAATGACTTTCAGCTAGTTTTAAAATATTAGGTTAGAGTTCTCAACTATTTCACAGAAATATCTTTCTGGCACAGCTACACTCTCTAAAGGGGCATTACTTAGTCTCTTTGTTCTTATACTAATTTTGAATGGACTTTCATTTTAATCCTATTATTTTGCTCATATTTATATGAAATTAATTTTCTTAAACTTTTAGAAAGAAGTCTTGGTTTAGAATAATATTTAAATGTTGTATCTATAGAATATCTTCCTCTTCCTTTTTTATAAGATGTTCAATACATGGCAACTCACTTTTAGAGATTTCTTGGTTCTGTTCACCTCCTCAATTTTATCTGGGCCATCTTTTCCCTTTGTTTCTATTGTCCCTATACTGCTCAGTTTGGATTCTATTCCGAGCAGTTTCTCCTCACTATAGGGTTTTGCCCTTTAGGAGATCTTAAGTTGATAAGCTGGAGAGATCAGTGGGCCCAGACTGCTCCAGCCCCTTCCAGTCTTACTGTGAAGCCCTTAATCATTGGGAGGAGGTCATCCTCTCCCAGTGTCACCCCCTGTAGTCAAATTAGCTTGCTGAACTTCCAAGTAACGTTGGTTATCTTGGAGTTATCAGGTCTACTAGATGCTCCACTGGTTTTCACTGTCTCTTCTGATATAGATGCTGGTACCACACAGATCTTGTCAATATGGATGACTTCTTCCCACTCATCCATATTTTGTGGGTTGTGGGGATATTTGATCACTTATACTTGTTCTAAGTGTTATACACTAATTTTTTTATATTTCCCTCTTTAGTTTCTTTGTTAAAGTGCAAGATGAGGGGCTTGTGCCACACATGAACACAATTCTGTCTTCACTAAGAAAGTCTTGTTATGAAAAATAAATTGTGTGCTTAGTGATGTACTAAACTTACATTCTGGTACAAGCTCCTTATCTTGTCAACCAGTTACAAAGGGTTCATGAGCCAGCGGCATGTCCAAGTAGCACTGATTTACAGACTTGTTTTAAGAAAAATTCAATGCCAATTTGTAGAACAATAAGGTTTATTTAAAAGTAATTCTTCAAAGTTCTTTGCTGAAACAGTTCTAAAAATCTGATTGGGGGTAGTAAAAAAAGACAGCAAGTAATGCCATGCTAAAGTGTTCACCACAAAACTTTTGTAGTTAACTAAGTATTCATACAGGAAAATATTTATAAATTTTAACAACTACAATTTTTATTTTCATTGATAGAATTTTGCAGCTTATTTGGACACAACTATGAGTTACATGTATACCAAAACCAGTTCTGAAAATATTTTTGCTTCCTATTTGAATTTTGTGAAATACTTTTTTTTTTTTTTTTTACCATGGCACAGGTATTCTCAATGCAGAAACAAAAAATTATATTCACAGGTGAACATCTTAACTGAATTTAAATTGTATTTGTAGTAATGTCACATGCTTCATCTTTGCTAGAATGATTTCCAAAAGCTTTCCTTGGATTCTATTAATTGGTTGAAACAACTGAACCACTATTGGAATTAAATGATTCTGTATTTGAAGGATCTGTGGACAATGACATTATTTAACAGTGAGGTTATTATTCTGCTCATAGGGTAATTACAGTAAGAGATATAACGTCATGTTTTAATATGGACAAGAAAACCTGGTATTAAAGATGAACAACAATAATTTAGAAGAATTTAGAAGATATCAAAGAAAATTCAAGCTTCACAGAATGATATGCAAATGTACTTTATGCAATTGCACTTGTTAAAACATTATTTTCAGGGAGACTTCTTAAAATAACTCCTAACTTTGGAAATAAATGCTTCTTTACCAGATGTGTATATTCTGGTTTCTGGTTTTCAGTGATATCACTACAACTCTCATGGTGGTTGGTAAATACTAAAAAGTATTTTGAGCAAATTATATGTGCACTGACTTTCTTAGGAAAAACATGAAGATTTAATTTTCCATTAAACATATATTTTGCTTTTTATTACTCTCTTTGCTGCCTAAAGGATTTAATGCAAAATACAAATCTTGGCAAACCAATGAGATAGTTACAGACTTCACTACAGTGAAGTGTAGTGAGAATCTTGACTTCTCAATATGCTCTGCAAAAAGACTCCTCAGCCTGTATTTCTCACACATATTTTATGCACATATAATCTGAGAAACCAGATTTCTCATCTTTCTCATTGACTCTGACAACTGGTAACCTACTGGCTTCATGTACTTCACAAGTTAGACAAATGATCTCTATTCCAAATGGCTGGCTGGAGAAGCAGTACTGAATATCTTTTCCACCAGCACCCATGACCAAAAGAAATCAGTTATCCCTTTCTGTTTGTGCCATTGTTTTATAAGCAAATGGCCCTCAGCTGACCTTGAATGGGAGGTGTTATGTTGCGTCTGGAAAAGTTCAGAACGAAGAAAAGAATTATCGCTGATCATCTTTTAGATTTAACCATGTGCTAAAGTGAGAATGTGTTCACTGTACATGTTTCCCATATACTACTAGGTGGGACTATGACAGTGGCTGAAAATTAAAACCAGAATTCTTCAAACCTGTCTGGTTCATTTTAATGTAAATAATAATAACACTTCATTATAATATAAAAACTCTGGGGCAATGCTAAACACATGATACAACAAACTTCAGTTACTGTTATACTTGTTCTAATTACAGACCACATGAAGCTTTTTGAACTTTCTTGTAGGAGTAATAATGGGATCAAGATGTTTTAAGTGGGGGGATGGCATGTTCATAGTTGCATTTTTTTCTTTTTCTTTTTTTTAAAGATTTTATTTATTTGACAGAGAGAGACAAAGAGAGAGAAGGAACACAAGCAGGGGGAGAGGGAGAGGGAGAAGCAGGCTTCCCGCTGAGCAGGGAGCCAGATGTGGGGCCCTGGGATCATGACCTAAGCTGAAGGCAGACGCTTAACGACTGAACCACCCAGTCGCCCCAATATTTGCATTTTTCAAAGCACTCCAGCTGTTGTATGGAAAAGGACTGAAAGGAGTAAAAGTATAGGTGATAATATTTTTGATTAAGAGGAGTAGAGGCAACCATTTACGATATGCCAGGTCCTGTGCTAATCATGTTACACATATAATCTCAATTAAGTTACAACAAACTTGTTAGGTAGCTGTTATTGTTAGCATTGTATAGCTAAGGCAACTGAGAATTAAAAAGGTTAGGTCAATTGCTCAAGGTCCCTTAGCTGCTAAGTGATAAAGCCCAGGAGGAGCTCAAATAAAGGTCTGGATTTCTTCAAGCTTAATCTTCCAACATATAGTTTCACTTTTTATATTCTATTTGTTTTCCCATTAGACTCCTTCAGAGTAGCAACTCTGTTTTAAAATGGTACCTAAAGCACACACCCCAGCACTTAAAAGCCCTCTGTATCCAAAGAAGTTCAATGTCTGTTACAATGAATATATTTATATAAAGTAGTTTGGAAATGTTTACCTGGAAACATTTTAAGGGTGTGATGTTTTGTATTTATTTAAATTATTAACATCAGACTTAAAATGCTACAATTTAGAAATTTTACTACTTTTTATGAAACTTTACATAAGTAACCTGAAAACAAGATTTTACTGCATCTCACTTTGAACAACAACAAAATGACTGTTTAAGTGTAATAAACTTACTATCTTGCTTCAATAGGTTCAATGTCAAGGGTGTTAACTCCACTGCCATGGATCCTTTCAACATCTCTGTCTTTGTTTAACTCCAGTCCCAAAACCCTTGAAAAAAATATAAAAATGGAAAGGAGGGAAAAGAAAGATAAAACTAAACAAAAATAAAGTAATTTAAGCATTAAAAACATCCTTATTTCACCAAAATTACATGTAGTACAAAAATTGCAAGTAATGCTTAAATCTTCTACTACACATTCAAAGGTATTTATAGATTTTTAAAGACCTTATATGAATTTTAAAAAATGCCAACAGTACTAACAATTATATATAAAGAATTTCTCCAAAGCATTATCTTAAATTTCATTTAAAGGGGTACTTCATTAATTTTTATTAAGGTATTTAGAGACTGAAATAAATTTTCATGAACAAAAAGTTAAATTCTGGTATCTTAAACTTAACTGAGGACACCTAGTGGACAAAAGCTTAAATTACAGTACTTAAAAAAAATTTCCTGAAGTGTTTCTTATGCTTTAGGTAGAAACAAAATGACTATGTTCAATTCAACAATTAAGCACACTTTTTAAAAGCCAATTAAATATCTATAAAAAGATGAATAGCAAGTACTCTTACAAATTAAGATGAGTGAAATTTCTGATATTGCATAACTGTAAAACATCATTATGGAAAGTGCTCATTACAATGACTAGTAAGTGCCCAGTGAATGTTAACTATTAGAATTTGTCTTAGTCTGTCGGATGTTAAAGAACATTTACATTAATTTAACTAGAATGATTTCTAAATTCATTACTGACCAACATGATGCTATCTATATGAAAATTTTTAGCCTATCTGTCAGTTTTATTTTTTAAAAATAATGCACAGTGCTAGAAAAAATACAAACTGATACTTTTATGTCCTCACAGTAGCAGTATTAATAATTATAAACATTTTAGTAATCATTTTAGCATATCAAATGTTTGATTTAAAGATATACAAGGGCTTTGTCTTCTGGAACAGTTTAGCCTTAGGTTCAAATATCCAGTCTAACATTTACTACTTTTCTGACCTTGATCAATAACAGTAACAGCCAACATTAAGAGCCTACCACTTGCTGACACTGTGATTAGTGGTAATAAAAAGTGTAATAAGTGGTAATCTGAAGTGATGGATTTCCTAGGTGGTAGGTTATATTAGTAACTGCTCTTTCTGATTATAAAACTAAGACATAAGTAATTTACCCAAGGTCATACATCTAATAATTGCTTGAACTTGGATCTGAACTCTTGACACTTTCTCTCCAGACCATTATGCTGTCTTCCATCTCTGAGCTCCAGTATTTCACCAGAAAACAATTTTTCACATTTTCTAGCGAATTCCCATTTCTTCTTAAAATATTTTTCTATTTTTCATTTTTATTTTATTTTACTTCATTTTTTTGAGAGACAGAGAGCATGCGTGGCGGGGGGGGGGGGGGGGGCGGAGCAGGCAGAGGGAGAAGGAGAGAGAGAATCTTAAGCCCCAATGCAGGGCTGGATCTCACAACCCTGAGATCCTGACCTAAGCCAAAATCAAGAGTCAGACACTTAACTGACTGAGGCACCCAGGCGCCCCTATTTGATGATTTTTCAAATAATAACAGTAATCTGTGCTTCTTGTAACCAGTAAAATATCATACAAACATGGACAAAGGTAATCACCCCTTCCCTGAGTTCCTTTCTCTGAACAGTGAGAAATGTAGCTCCCACTATCATTAATATGTTTATTTATTTGATCAATGCCACTGAACGTAACCAATCTCCCATCACCAATACCATCTCCATCTCCAACAAGAAAATTGCTCACCAGGCTTGGGCTTTGATTTCTGCCTCCCCTAATACTCCTAATCACCTGGGCTTGTCAGTCCCCACAATCAGACTACCTCTTTAACCTGCTCAGGGTCTCCAATATCACTCTAAAGCAATCTAATCCCAGCCTGTGTATGGAAGCCTACCTCTGCCCAACCTAAAGACTTTAGGACTGCATTTTTAGGGAACTAAAAGGTGTTAAATGAAGGAAAGTAAGAGGGTAATATGATAGGTAAACAAGGGGACGGTGTGTGTGAAAGGAGGCAAGGTGTGCAAAAAAGAGTTAACACAGCATGCCAGAGACTGCTATCCTTTAGAAAGCCTACTTGCAAGATTGGCCTTTGTCTGCTTCTGTGATTGCAGATTCTAATCATTCCTGGATAAGAATGGTTCACTGGGCCTAAACTATGTGGAGCCAACAAGGTGCTTTGTGATGAATACCTGCTTTCCTTCTGGGAGTCTGGAATTTTGGTACATGTTAAGTACATAGAAATTTTGGTTCATGCTCTAAAAGAAGAGATAAAGTCCTTCAGACAGAAGGGAAATGAAATAAGAAAACTTGGGATATCAGGATTGAGGAGAGAGCAAAAGAAATGATAAATACCTAGGCAAATATAATTGACAAAGTATGCTTGATAGCTGAAAACAAAATGTATTAACATTATCTGATGGGGTTTACAATGTATGTAAATGTAATATGTGAGGCAACATATATGGTGGAGGATAAAGAGTGATGAAGTTTCTATATGCCAAATGAGGCAGTAAAATATTGATTCTAAGAGTGGGGCGCCTGGGTGGCTCAGTCGTTGAGCGTCTGCCTTCAGCTCAGGTCATGGTCCCAGGGTCCTGGGATCGAGCCCCGCATCGGGCTCCCTGCTCCGTGGGGAAAGCCTGCTTCTCCCTCTCCCACTCCCCCTGCTTGTGTTCCCTCTCTCGCTGTGTCTCTCTCTGTCAAATAAATAAATAAAATCTTTAAAAAAAAAAAAAATTGATTCTAAGAGGAGAATGAAAAGTGGGTATTTTATAATTCCTAGAGCAACCACCAAAAACAATCATATAACGAGAAGTCACAAGAGATAAATTAAAATGGAATATTAAATAATGTTCAAATAACCCCCAAAAAAGCAGGAAAGGGGAAACAAAAATGTGGAGCAACCAGCACTCTCATCCACCACTGGTGGGAATGTTAAGCTTCTAGAAAACTACCAGTTTCTAAAAAGTGAAACACAGGCTCTAGTCATTCCACTGTTAGGCATGCAGCCAAGAGAAATAAAAGCATATATCCACACAAAGACTTGTACATGAACATTCACAGCAGCTTTATATGTAATTGCCCAAAACTGGAAACATTTAAATGTCCATCAACAAGTGAATGGATAAACTGTGATATATCCACAGAATAGAACATTCCTCAACAGTAAAAAAGAATCAAAAGGAGAAACTTCAAAATAAATTATGCTGAATGAAAAGAGCTAGATAAAGCATGATTTTATTTATATAAAATTCCGAATGTACAGTAATCTATGCTGACAGTAAGCAGTGGAGTGGTTTCCTGGAGTAAAACAGCATGAAGCAGGGAAAGAAAGAAAAGAAGCATTACAAAGAGTTAGGATGAAATTTTTGGCTTATGGATATTAGTTATTTTGATGGTGATGGTTTCAAAGCATATATGTATGTCAAAACCCATCCAGCTGTTTACTCTAATTTAATGTGCAGTTTATTGTATGTCAATTACACCTCAAGAAAGTTGTAAAAAAAAGTGGGGTAAGAATTGTAAACTTTGCATATCCGTGTTCACGCTTTTGCCCTTAATCATTGACAAAGAAGAACTTGGGGTAAATTAGAGTAGACATCTTCTTTAAATAAAATAGGACTGTGTAGTTGTTTAGTTAAGCAAACACATCACTTAACGAGGGGAATCTTTAAGAAGAAACACTACCTTAAACACTTTATTTCAACTTAAATATATAAGCAATCCTCACTTTGCACAGTTTGCAAACTAAGCACAGAATGCAAGTTACCATGATTTAAATACCAGACCCCCCCCAACAATATGGTTCAAAATTCAGTTACCATGGTATATTAATTGTGACTAAGAGCACAAAGCACAAAGTTGGCTACTAGCTTTTCAGTGCACAAATCACTACAAAAATAACATGCACATCATAATTCGTGACCAATTTACATGACTTCTTTCAAAGTCTGCAGGTGATTGGTTACTGTACATTTGTCATTCAATTCACACAGAGCCTGCAAAGTTCTGTACTTCTGAGATAAACCCATACGAAATTTTAGAAAAATGGAGAATTAAAAGAGGGAATTGACATGGAGGTGCACCAAAAATATGCTAAGTGATAATGCTGGAAATAAAACTCCAATGGAATGTAAATGGAGTTACAGAAGAAATAGTTGATTGTGGAAATGTTGACACTTGTGGCCATTTGAGAATCTCTAGAGAAAGACTGAGGAAATCAATGCAGGTGAGTGAACTTATCCCAATAAATGAGAAAAAGTGGTCATGATGAGAAGGCTGAAGATGTCTGGGAGGAAATGACACTGGCAAAAACGTTCACATAAAAAAACTCTCAGAGACCTATTTCACGACACTGAAATGCAAAGGACAAAATGTTGGAATCTGATTCGGACTTAGAAAGAATGATAATTAGCCAAGATATAGAACAGATACTCAACTTGCATTAGAAACTATACAATGAGAAGACCAGTGCCACTCAAACTACTCTTGATTTCAGTTTTTTTTTTTTTTTTAAAGATTTTATTTATTTATTTGACAGAGAGAGACACAGCGAGAGAAGGAACACAAGCAGGGGGAGTGGGAGAGGGAGAAGCAGGCTTCCCGCAGAGCCGGGAGCCCAATGTGGGACTCGATCCCAGGACCCTAGGATCATGACCTGAGCCGAAGGCAGTCGCTTAACCGACTGAGCCACCCAGTTGTTTTTTTTTTTAAAGATTTTATTTATTTGACAGAGAGAGACACAGCGAGAGAGGGAACACAAGCAGGGAGAGTGGGAGAGGGAGAAGCAGGCTTCCCGCTGAGCAGGGAGCCCGACGCGGGGCTCGATCCCAGGACCCTGGGATCATGACCTGAGCCGAAGGCAGACACCCAATGACTGAGCCACCCTGGCGCCCCTTAAACAAAGAAATAACTGTAGTTCTCATTGTTTCTAATGTCTTATATTACAGTGTACTAATATTAGCTTTCCTATTTTTTTCATTTCTTATATATTTAGGATGGACAGTAAAAGTTTACTGTTTGACGAAGAAATTTTAAATATCACAGAACAATGGTAATTGTTCCCTATCCACTGATTATTAAAATTACTTGCCATAGATTTTGCCTGGCACAATTATATTATAGATGTATAATACTATGGAAAGCAAGGACTGTCCGAATATTTATATGCCAATTGTTTGAAGTAGAGTTAAACATGCTGAACAGAATGCCACATCACCTTTTTTTTTTTTACAAACCTTACCCATAACTATATGTATTCTATGATTTTCAAAAATAGGTTTTATTTGGAGAGCTGGGGTGACTTACTCGGTTGAGTGTCCGACTCTTGATTTTGAGTCAGGTTGTGATCTCAGGGTCGTGAGATTAAGCTCTGCATCAAGCTCTGCACTGGGCACAGACTCTGCTTAAGATTTAATTTAATTAAAATTAAAATATATGTTTTAGTCATTAACTTGTTATTTTAGTTGAGAAAACATTTAAGGCATATGCCAAACAAATGAATATGGAATCTCAGACATGCAAAGCAATTGAATGTGGAATCTCTCTCAAGCAATGGTTGCCAATCCTGGCTATACATTATAATCACCTACGGAGCTTTAAAGAAATCCCAGTGTCCTGGACCAATTAAATCAGAATCTCTGGGGTTGGAACTTTGGCATGAATACTTTTTCCAACGTATTTTTTCCAAATCACCCTATGTGATTCTAATATCATGGCAAAGCTGAAAAAAACTGTTCTTTTAATATTTTCCTCCAGTCTTTCATAGTATGATTTTCTCAATCATACCTCATTGAACAGCATTTTATTTTAAGCGATTTGTTTGGATTATTTCAAAAGTGGTTCATTTAGTTTTTATAAGAATAATAATTCTTTTTCATTTTGTATTTCATTAATTCTTATTAAAATGATGTAATCAGAATAATAAAACTGGCATTCTCAGGACTCGGGACAAATACTGATTTTTGATAAGCATATAAAGCAACTGGTGGAAGAGATGTGCATGGGATTACTAGATTATAGGCTTTTTAGCCCCAAGTGTTAAGTATGCTGGGGGAACCAGCATGTTTTACACAGAAAATGAAACCCATTCACAGATGGATTAATCTGGTGATCTTCTTAGGAAACATTCACTATTTCAAACCTTTACTTCTTCTTTTTTTTTTTTTTTAATTTATTTATTTGACAGAGAGAGAGATAGCGACAGCAGGAACACAAGTAGGGGGAGTGGGAGAGGGAGAAGTAGGCTTCCCGTGGAGCAGGGAGCCCGATACGGGGCTCGATCCCAGGACCCTGGGATCATGACCTGAGCCGAAGGCAGACGCTTAACGACTGAGCCACCCAGGCGCCCCAAACCTTTACTTCTTCTAATGAAGAGGTTTAGGTCATGGAATTTTAACAAAGAGCGATACTTAGTTGCTTCCTCAGACTGAGGACTATTTGGGATTAAAAGACTCTGGAGACACCCAGTATTTTAGACCCTCAGTAGCTCACATGATTTAAATTATTACTGATATGATAAGACTTCTGAACATAGTAGAGAAAAAATAATGCTGCTTCTTTTCAAAAAAGCACAGATATTTTTACTAAAATTAAAGGTCTAACAGTCAAGTTCATTCACTTTCCAATGTTTAATTTGTTGATCCTAATGGAAGAATTGCAGAACTACTTGGTGGAAACAAGCTAAATTATCGGAGATTGACCAATTTTGATAAACATAAATTTTGAGTCTTTGAAATCATTGAAATAAAAACCTCTGGATATGTCTGTATGCTTTTATTAGAGTGGATCACTGAGCTGAATAGGAATTACTGTCAACTCTGCACTAATTGGGGGTGGGGAGAGGGGGCCAACAGTAGATGCAATTTCTGAGATCAGATTATAAGGAATCTGGCTCCCATCTTGCTTGCCCTTTCTTGCTCTCTTACTTTCTTGTTTTGATGGAAGCCAGCTGTCATGTGATTTGAGAGGTCTATGTGAAAAATAACTGGAACTGAGGGAGACCTCTGGACCAAAGTCAGGGAAGAACTAAATCCTGTCTTGAGTGAGCTTGGAAATAGATCCTTCGAGAGTCAAGTCTTGAAATGACTATAGTCCTAGCCAATATCTTCATTTCAGCCTTCTGAGAGACTATGAGCCAGAAGACTCAGATAAGACACACAGATTCCTGACCCCTAGAACTTGTGAGATAATAAATCTTTTGTTACTTTAAGCTGCTAAGTTTTGGGGGGTACTTTGTTACCCACTCACTGATAAATTATGCTTGGGGTACTTTGTTACCCACCCACTGATAACAAATGCAGCAGGTGAATTCTTCTTTTGAGATATTAGAAAAAAATCATGTCCATCAGTTTTCCAATAAGCAACCGTACTCTGCTTTTCTCTCCTTAAGTTTCTTTAAAAAGCCATCAGTGTTGGCAGTTCCCACTTCTTTTTTTTTTTAAGGCAGTTCCCACTTCTTTTCCTGTCATTCTCCAACTCACTGAAATCTTACTTTTATTCCCATGATTCTCTTAAAAATGCTCTTCCCAAGGTCATCAGTGATCACCCTGTTGGTTAAATATAATGCACACTTTTAATTCTTCCTTTATTCCTCATATTTCTTGAATGCATGCCATTCACTTAACATAAACTTTTCTAGGCCCCTTCTCTCATGTCTCTTTTCTCACAGGGTTTAAGAAGACAATATACTAATAAGAAAATATGTATATAATACAATTTCAGTAGTAATAAATTGAATAGATAAGCAGAGTAATGGGAGGGAGAACCACTGAGAGCAAAGAACGGGGCGAGGGCCAGCAAATGACACATATGAGGGCTTCCTCTTCTTTCAGGTTAAGAGATACTTCATTGCCCTGGTTTTGCTGCAACGGTTCATTTGTAGTCTCTTCTTCTGCCTAACTTTAAATGTTGATGTTTCTCAGATTTTTGGTCATTGAAATGCTTTTCTTACTCTACAAATAATGCCTGGATGATCTCATCTCCACCTCACTTCAAGTATCATCTCACATTAAAGATATCTCAATTTCTTCTAAGCAACAAATATGTACATTAAACTTTCTCCTCCTCTCTCCAAGTGAAAATCTTCACAGGTTCTTTGAAAGCAATATGGGAAGGGGTACCTGGGTGGCTCAGTCAGTTACGCATCTGACTTCGGCTCAAGTCATGATCTCAGGGTCCTGGGATCGAGCCCAGGGTAGGGCTCCTTGCTCACTGGGGAGTCTGCTTATCCCTCTCCACCTGCCCCCCCCCCCCGCTCCTGCTCTCTCTCTCTCAAATGGGTAGATAAAATCTTAAAAAAAAAAAAGAAAGTAATATGGAAAACGTCCGTATGGTCAAGTTACATTCACTCTGCTACATACAAAGCACATATCTGGGAATCATTGTTGACTCCTCTCTTTTCATCATTCACTATATTCAACCAATTTACATAGCTGGTTGATTCTATTTCTTAAATGTTTTTTAAATATTTTCACTCTTTTCCACCCAACCACCATTTCCCAGGCTTCCATCTGCTCTCTTCTGGACAACTGGAACAGTTACCTAACTTGACTCTCACTCTTGCTCTCAACTTCAATCCATTCTCCAAGCAGATGACAAAATCCAATAGTTGTCATCTTCTTCTCATCTTCATACCTCTTCACCAAGCACACAAGGCTCTTTCTCACCTGGCCCCAGACTACATCTCCAGCTTCATCTCTTGTCAATGGCCCCCTTGTCTGCTCTAGTCATGGTAAACTTTCTTCGATTCCTGGCCTATGCTCTACCCTTAACATAATTCTTGGCAAACAATAGGAGCTCGGTAAATATGTCGACTGAATGAATGAAGGAATCCTTGGAGAGTAGTTACTCCTTGGGGAGTGGGAAGGAAATGTAATGTGAGGGAAAAGGAATAAGATAAAAGGAAAGTATCTTCCCCAGAAGCCGCGTGCGCACCCACCAGCCTCCAGGTATGTAGAAGGCATCTTATTTTCGTAAGGCACAGAGCAGAAGAAATGAAAAGTCTAGTTTGGTGGCAGTAAAGTGATAATGAGGCGGGAAAGTGGGAGGCAAGACTAACCACAGAAACAGGTCCAGATTTTAAATGGCCTGTTTGAGAAAAAAGTAAGGTTTTCGTTACCTCTGTGTGGACTCCGCTCTCCGGAGGCGAAGAGGGTCGTCCAAACCCGCTTGTCTCGCTAATAAAAACCCTAACATCCCGTTCCTTTACACCGGCCTGAAAACTAGATGCCGCCATGACAGAGCTCGGAGGCCGGGCTGTTAACAGTGGAGCCTCCCATTGGTCAAGCAAGGTGCTATCCAACCAATGGTGAGCGCCGTTACTAGAGGGGCGTGAGAATGGAGTGGATGGGCGGGGTCAGCGGCTGGAGAACGAGTGTGCTTCAGTCGTGGCGAATCCGGCAGCGATTCGTGCTTAAATCCCGGCGGACTGCATGGGTTGGTCTCAGGATTTGTTCCGTGCCTTATGGAGAGCGCTGTCAAAAGAAGCGAAACAGCAAGTGGGCACAGACCAGTTTGGGAACAAATACTACTATGTCCCCGAGTACAAGAACTGGAGAGGTGAGATTACAGCGAGCTCGCAACGTTTGCGCGGTCAGTAAATAAGGGGAACGTGAGCGCGTCTCGTAAACTAGCACAGCGTCCGATGGCTCTGATGTCTCCCGGGGTCACAGCCCAGATTCGTTCACCCTGCCGCCCCTTCACTCTGAGCTGAGCGCTCGGCGCCGCGGCCCGGCCGCAGCGTGCCCGCCGTCCGGGGGTTGCAGCGCCTCGGTGAGGTGCCACCGGCCGCGACCCGCGCGAGCCCCGCACCACACACGCAGCTCTCCTCCCCGGATCGAGAGCCCCCCCGCAGACGACGCCCCGGCGCCGGTCCTGGCCATTGGGCGACACAGACAGGGACAAGTCCACGGAGGTCTTTTGCCAGAGGGCCTCAGGAGGGCAGGGAAGTAGCTTTTCTTGCTCCTGTGCCCTCCTGGCGACCAGGCCGGCTTGTGTAATGGAAGAGGTGCATCGTGAGGGTCTCCGCTTTCCTCTTTCTTGGTGTTTACCTTTTCGGTAGCTCGGCGTTGGCCACACGCGTCACTTTCGTCCAGCTGTCTAAAGCAGGGCTGTGCACCCTGTGGAGAGGGGTCCTCACAAGGTTTTATGTTACCTTTCCCACGAATTTGCACTCCAAAACCCCATGGAGCTCGCTTTAAGATCATTGCTCCAATCGTGGTGTTTCCTAGGATTCATGCAAAGTAGTGGAGTTTGGGGAATTAGGGGGCGTTCCTGTCGGTTGAGATCGTCTCACGTAGCAGCCGTTATAACCTCTGCGATGTGGCTCCATCATCGCGATGCAAAGGATCTCAGGCTTTGGCATCAGAAGGGCTTGGGTTAGAACTTCAGCTCTGACACCGAATAACTGAGGGAAAACTGACAAAATATTTGTCCTCCCTGGTCTCAGTCTCCTCACTTGGAAGTTAGAGATGGTAATAATAGCAGTTACTGAGAAGCACTAAAATCTTTCCAATATTGTGATCCATTCATTTCCGGTAGTTCTAGTCAAAGAGAATTACTCCTTCCTTACTTAGAGCACATGTAAATTGTATTTAGTGATTTATCTCTCAAAATTGTTTTGCCCAGCCTTTTTCTGTAACTTAATATCTAAGACTTGTTTCCCATTTAAATGAGCTTCTAAACTCTATCAGGGTAGGGAATATGTCTTTTTTTTTTTTTAAGTCCACAAATAACCTAGCGTGTTGATGGTGTTTCTTCACAAATTGCAACCAGAAGGAAAGATGCTTCTTTTCCATAAGTTGTCAGTAGCATTAAAAAATATGCAAAATGTCTATTGGCTTTTGTTATTGAAGTATAATCTACATACAGTAACACATCCTTTTTGGTGTATGGTTTTATGATTTTTTACAAATGCATAGTCCTATAACTATCACACGATCAAGATACAGAATGGTTCCATCACTCCCCAAATTCCCTTTACCCCTTAGTATTTCATTGACCCTTACCTCATTAACCAGGCATTAGCAACCACTGATCTGTTTTAGGTCCCTACAATTTTGCCTTTTCCCAGATATCATATAAATGAAATTATGGAGGATGTAGTCTTTCAAATAAAACGTATTTCACACACCGTAATGCAGTTAAGATTCATCTATGTGTCAGTAGTTATTCCTTTTTATTGCTAAGTAGTAGTTCATTTATGGATTTACCGAAGTTTATCCATTCACTTGGGTAAATACCTAAGAGTGAGATTGCTGGGTTGTGCGCACATGTATGGAACTTTATAAGGAACTACCCCCCTCTTTTCCAAATTGGCTATATCATTTTGCATTCCTGCCAGCAATGTTAAGAAAATTCTGGTTACACATCCTCACCAGCACTGGTATTGTCAGGTTTTTGTTGCTGTTTTTATTTTTATTTTAGCCATTCTATTAGTTGTATAGTGGTGTCTTATTGTGGTTTTGATTTTCATTTTCCTAATGACTGAAAATGTTGAGAATCTTTTTATGTGCTTATTTGCCATCCTTAGATCTTTGGTAAAGTATCTGTTCAACTCTTTTGACCATTAAAAATAATTTTGGATCGGGGCGCCTGGGTGGCTCAGTCGTTAAGCGTCTGCCTTCGGCTCAGGTCATGATCCCAGAGTCCTGGGCTCGAGTCCCGCAGGCTCCCTGCTCAGTGGGAAGCCTGCTTCTCCCTCTCCCACTTCCCCTACTTGTATTCCCTCTCTCGCTGTGTCTCTCTCTGTCAAATAAATAAACAAAATCTTAAAAAAAATAATTTTGGATCAACTTCATTGTACCATTTCAATGAAAATACAATATGATGGAAGAAAGATTTAAATTAACAAAATCATGTGTATTCTAAAACAACATAATTTGTTAGTCAAAGGATATGTTGGTCTTTAATGTTATTATGATACCAAATTGTTTTCCAAAGTGATTATAAATTTATACTTCTATCAGCTTGATATTTGGAATTCATGTACTCTTGGCTGTGAGAAAATGAGGCTTTTATTGATGATGTAGGAGAATCATTGTATGCTGCTATATAACATATCTGTGTTGCTCAGTTCTTAGATAATTGAAGCCTGTGGCACAGACACATATTATGTTCTGTAAATACTGTTACACATTTCCTAAGCCTTCCACTATATGTAGGGGAAATATCTTTAGTTTGTTTTAATGCAAGTTTTCCAAAAATGAGTCATCTAACTTTATTTCCTTGGTATGAAAGATGGTTTTTTAGAGGTCTCCTTGAGTTTTCTTTGAATTGAATGAATTGTTGAGCATTTAACACCACCATTGAAGAGTATTTAAGAACTCTTTAGAGGAAATGACTTTTTCTTTTAATTCAGTTAGTTAGTGTGGCGCCAGTCATTAAAGAACTACTATACTTTCCACATAGGATATTATTTAATGAGAGCAAAGATACTTATGCAATTTAAAATAAATCTCTGGAGTATTGTCCAGTCAGCTGAATTTAAGTTTAGGATTGATTGTTGAAATTTTAACTTTTTTTTTTTGAAAAAAAAAAAAAAAAAAACATACTGGCATCTCAGGATAAAAAGATTGTGAAGATAGCGTTAGTTGGCATTTTAAATAAAAAGATGTTAATCAACATATTATTATTGGAAGTTTGCTTGCTCTATGGAAGATTACTTAGTAAAAGATTCCCCAAATAAACTTTGTCTAGAAATTTCCTTTGATATTGCACCCTTTTTATTTATACTATCTCTGAGTTTTTATACATCTGGTCCATTTAGCTCATGTTTCAAAACGAGTTCCCTTCCTAAGATAAATTCTTGTATACTTAATTCTGACTAGAACGTCTTTGAACCTTGTTTTATTATTTTCATCTTTATCTTTTGCACATTTATTAAACATCTGCACCCAGTTAAAACTAGCAAGTTTATTACTGAAAGACTATTTTGAGTTGTTAATTTCCTAATAGACATTGTGAATGTCCAAATTTGGGAAGGAAGGTGAATATCGTGCATAATTTGCAAAAAACAAATTTTGGAGTATTGTGTTTGCCTCTGGATACCACACTTTAGGAGAGATGATTGAAAATCTAGAGTGTCCAGACAGGAGTAGTTATGAAGATGAAAATTTCTAGAAATTGTATCTATGACTATTAGCTGTGAATTTTGAGGAAATTTATCCTGTGAAGATAAGATTTAGGAGCAGCTTCAGATATTTGGAAGATTGTTGTATAGAAAAGGATTAGGTTCATCTATGCAGCCCTTTAAATCAGAACTTAGATCAGAGGGGAGATGTTTACCTTTTTTGAAGAAATAACTTTCAGCCTATTAGAGTCATGCTAGAAAAGGAAGAGAGTGCCTTGTGTTTAATTGTAGCTGAGAGAATTTAGGGAGGTAAGGAGCTGGACACATTTGATCAGCACCTTGAATGATAAATACAATTTCAGAAAGAGTGGTTGAGGAGCATTCCCAGTCAGGGCTAAGAAGGGCTAGGAAACACCACAGAAAGTAGAAGGTAGTCCCATGCTGGTAGGCTTCAGTGGAGAAGACTAGAGAAAGCTGTTTTAGTGAGGGGATCAACAGGGTCAGATACTAAATGGCCTTGAATACTGTGAGTTTGAAGTTTGCAGTTTATTCTCTAGCTGGTAGGTAGCCATTGAAAAGCTTGTGACATGATCAGAGCTCTTAAAGAAATGACTCCGGAAGCCCTGTAGAAGGTGAGCTAGAGGGGAGAGGGAGGAGCTGAAATACTATTTGGTGGAAGCATTGCTAGATTGACTGTGATTCTGGAAAGAGATGTTAGGAGACTCAAGTGATGGGAATGGAAAGAAAAGGTTTTTTTTTTTTTTTTTTTTAAGATTTTATTTATTCATTTGAGACACAGAGAGAGAGCATGAGCAGGGGGAGAGGTAGAGGGAGAGGGAGAAGTAGACTCCCCGCCGAGCAGGGAGCCCGATGCGGAACTCGATCCCAGGACCCTGAGATCATGACCCGAGCTGAAGGCAGATGCTTAACCATCTGAGCCACCCAGGTAGGTGCCCAGAAAAGTTTGATTTAGCAAAACTTTTGAACTTGGTAATTACTTAGACTGGTGGAATGGGAAAGAAAAGATGAGAGGCCAAAGATGATTTTGTTTCAATTCTGGAGAGCCTGTGGATTATGATGTACAGATTCATGCAAATAAAGGCTTAAGAGGGACAAATGCAAATAGAGAAGTAGGCTTTAGGGTGGGTTGGTAAAAGAGTAAGTGGAATTTGTTATAATAGGACAACTGTATAATCAGGCAATTATA